GACCTCTAGTGTGTGAGACTAGAATGATAACCAACTACACCACCCAGACGATCTAACAAACCAAAATAACGATTTGAACTCGAATAAACGGTGAAATCGTTGTTCAGAAAAAAGTAAAAACATGTCTGAGCCAAGGTTCAAACTGGGGACCTCTAGTGTGTGAGACTAGCGTGATAACCAACTACACCACCCAGACAAGCTAACAAACAAAAATAACGATTTGAACACGAATCAACGGTGAAATCGTTGTTCAGGAAAAAGTAAAAACATAATTTTAAAAATGTCTGAGCCCAGGTTCGAACTGGGGACCTCTAGTGTGTGAGACTAGCGTGATAACCAACTACACCACCCAGACAAGCTAACAAACCAAAATAACGATTTGAACTCGAATCAACGGTGAAATCGTTGTTCAGAAAAAAGTAAAAACATAATTCTAAACATGTTTGAGCCAAGGTTCAAACTGAGGACCTCTAGTGTGTGAGACTAGCGTGATAACCAACTACACCACCCAGACAAGCTAACAAACCAAAATAACGATTTGAACTCAAATCAACGGTGAAATCGTTGTTCAGGTAATAGTAAAAACATAATTTTAAAAATGTCTAAGCCCAGGTTTGGACTGGGACCTCAAGTGTGTAAGACTAGCGTGATAACCAACTACACCACCCAGACAAGCTAACAAACCAAAATAACGATTTGAACTCGAATCAACGGTGAAATCGTTGTTCAGAAAAAAGTAAAAACATAATTCTAAACATGTCTGAGCCAAGGTTCAAACTGAGGACCTCTAGTGTGTGAGACTAGCGTGATAACCAACAACACCACCCAGACAAGCTAACAAACAAAAATAACGATTTGAACTCGAATCAACGGTGAAATCGTTGTTCAGGAAAAAGTAAAAACATAATTTTAAAAATGTCTGAACCTAGGTTCGAATTGGGGACCTCTAGTATGTGAGACTAGCGTGATAACTAACTACACCACCTAGACAAGCTAACACGAATTGGGGACCTCTAGTATGTGAGACTAGCGTGATAACTAACTACACCACCTAGACAAGCTAACAAACCAAAATAACGATTTGAACTCGAATCTAGCGTGATAACTAACTACACCACCTAGACAAGCTAACAAACCAAAATAACGATTTGAACTCGAATAAACGGTAAAATCGTTGTTGAGAAAAAGGTAAAAACATAATTCTAAACATGTCTGAGCCAAGGTTCAAACTGAGGACCTCTAGTGTGTGAGACTAGAATGATAACCAACTACACCACCCAGACGATCTAACAAACCAAAATAACGATTTGAACTCGAATCAACGGTGAAATCGTTGTTCAGAAAAAAGTAAAAACATAATTCTAAACATGTCTGAGCCAAGGTTCAAACTGAGGACCTCTAGTGTGTGAGACTAAAATGATAACCAACTACACCACCCAGACAAGCTAACAAACCAAAATAACGATTTGAACACGAATAAACGGTGAAATCGTTGTTCAGAAAAAAGTAAAAACATAATTATAAACATGTCTGAGCCAAGGTTCAAACTGGGGACCTCTAGTGTGTGAGACTAGCGTGATAACCAACTACACAACCCAGACAAGCTAACAAACAAAAATAACGATTTGAACACGAATCAACGGTGAAATCGTTGTTCAGGAAAAAGTAAAAACATAATTCTAAACATGTCTGAGCCAAGGTTCAAACTGAGGACCTCTAGTGTGTGAGACTAGCGTGATAACCAACTACACCACCCAGACAAGCTAACAAACCAAAATAACGATTTGAACTCGAATCAACGGTGAAATCGTTGTTCAGAAAAAAGTAAAAACATAATTCTAAACATGTCTGAGCCAAGGTTCAAACTGAGGACCTCTAGTGTGTGAGACTAGCGTGATAACCAACTACACCACCCAGACAAGCTAACAAACCAAAATAACGATTTGAACTTGAATCAACGGTGAAATCGTTGTTCAAGAAAAAGTAAAAACATAATTCTAAACATGTCTGAGCCAAGGTTCAAACTAAGGACCTCTAGTGTGTGAGACTAGCGTGATAACCAACTACACCACCCAGACAAGTTAACAAACCAAAATAACGATTTGAACTCGAATCAACGGTGAAATCGTTGTTCAAGAAAAAGTAAAAACATAATTTTAAACATGTCTGAGCCAAGGTTCAAACTGAGGACCTCTAGTGTGTGAGACTAAAATGATAACCAACTACACCACCCAGACGAGCTAGCAAACAAAAATAACGATTTGAACTCGAATAAACGGTGAAAACCAACTACACCACCCAGACGAGCTAGCAAACAAAAATAACGATTTGAACTCGAATAAACGGTGAAATCGTTGTTCAGAAAAAAGTAAAAACGTAATTTTAAAAACGTCTGAACCCAGGTTCGAACTGGGGTCCTCTAGTGTGTGAGACTAGCGTGATAACCAACTACACCACCCAGACAAGCTAACAAACCAAAATAACGATTTGAACTCGAATCAACGGTGAAATCGTTGTTCAGAAAAAAGTAAAAACATAATTCTAAACAAGTTTGAGCCAAGGTTCAAACTGAGGACCTATAGTGTATGAGACTAGCCTGATAACCAACTACACCACCCAGACAAGCTAACAAACCAAAATAACGATTTGAACTCGAATCAACGGTGAAATCGTTGTTCTTGAAATAGTAAAAACATGATTTTAGAAATGTCTGAGCCCAGGTTCAAACTGGGGACCTCTAGTGTGTGAGACTAGCGTGATAACCAACTACACCACCCAGACAAGCTAACAAACCAAAATAACAATTTGAACTCGAATAAACGGTGAAATCGTTGTTCAGAAAAAAGTAAAAACATAATTCTAAACATGTCTGAGCCAAGGTTCAAACTGAGGACCTCTAGTGTGTGAGACTAGCGTGATAACCAACTACACCACCCAGACAAGCTGACGAACCAAAATAACGATTTAAATCGAATCAACAGTGAAATCGTTGTTCAGAAAAAAGTAAAAACATAATTCTAAACAAGTTTGAGCCAAGGTTCAAACTGAGGACCTATAGTGTATGAGACTAGCCTGATAACCAACTACACTACCCAGACAAGCTAACAAACCAAAATAACGATTTGAACTCGAATCAACGGTGAAATCGTTGTTCTTGAAATAGTAAAAAAACATGATTTTAGAAATGTCTGAGCCCAGGTTCGAACTGGGGACCTCTAGTGTGTGAGACTAGCGTGATAACCAACTACACCACCCAGACAAGCTAACAAACCAAAATAAC